TTTTTTTTCTATAAGTAGGCCATAAACTTTTTTATATTTTTAGAGCTCCTGGATACCAAAAACTATGAAGAAGTAATTTTTTTGGGACTTTCAAATCCGGAGTCCTCTTTGGGACTCCGCATCCCTGCTAAAATCACTTGAAAAAAACTTTCTTATTCCTTTACTTTGTTTTTACGATAAAAATATTGCACCATCATAATGTTGCAATATTTTTAACGTAAAAATATTTTTAACGTAAAAATATTGCACCATCATAATGTTGCAATATTTTTAACGTAAAAACAAACTAAAGGTAACACCTGATATGAGGTGTTAAATAAGTTAAGTATAACCTTTACCTGTAAAATTATTACGTATAAAATAATATAATTATGAGTAAATACGAGTGTGCATATAATTTCAACAGTTTTAATACTGCAGTAAATAATGCATTTTTTGTAAAAATATAGTTTGAATTGGGAAAAAACATTGCCTAGTGTGAGGGTCGAACTCACGACCTTCAGATTATGAGACTGACGCGCTAACCAACTGCGCCAACCAGGCTTACATAGAAATAGAAACACAATTATTAAATACTGCAAATATTTGAAATCTTGAATTAATTAGATGGAAGACTATGTGGAGCGGTAGACAGGGCTCGGGTAAATAATCAAAAAATATGTATCTGCAAGTTATTTGTAAAAACACCTGTGGAGTCACTGAGAGGGTGTAGGGGTGCGGGCTGCACCGGGTGACACCATCACGACATGACGCAGAGAGGTGACACCAAAATAAAAAAAACTTGACAGAACTGCTCATGCTCGTGTTAAATATGTTTTGTCTTTGACCTAACCAATATTTTCCATCATTTGATTTTTCGATAATATTTAATAATATTTTTCCATTTGAAACTAAAAGCTTTTGTCGTTTATTAAGATCGGAGAAATAGAGTTTTTATTTTGTCTTTTATTCAATATTAGATAAAGATAGATATTGAATTTGTACAAGTTTAGTATCTCTTTCTCCTATCTCTCTATCGAAATACGATTTTATTTCGTTTGCCTTTCACTAGAGATTGTATTTTCTATGTCTTTTACAAAATATTGTTTTTCGGGTTTCTTACTATACAACACTATAGTGTTTTGTAGATTTATTATTTATTTTATTACCGTGGGTTTGTCTATCATAAAACTACCTACTTTTGATGTTTAAGTTTAAAGAATTTATATAGTTAGTGTTTTACTAGAATAATAAAGTGTTAAAAAATCTTTTATGTCTTCAACAGGCCTGTAGGAACAAAAATTATATTAGGGGGGGGGGGGAAGCAGTGCTGGATTAAAGGGCCCCAAAATAGTTTTAAGGACCTTTTTTTTTAGTCATTTTTTAAGTTAATTTTTCAAAATTATTTATTTGAAAAATTATTAAGAAGGAAGGGGGGGAGCAAATGCCCCTCCTGACTCTCCCCCCTTTCCCCTCGGTTGCTACGGGCCTGTTCAATCAGCTAAGGAGCAATTAGCGTTCATTTTAGAAACAATGATTTTATGCAACAAGTTTTATAACACGCTAAGCAGCGATTTAGTATTTCAATTTTAATACAAAATTGCGACCATTTTTATTAGTTCTGGACTAAAATTTTCTCCTATCTTACTTAGCAGCATCTTCAGACTAAAGAGTTAACTCCTGACAAAATAGTTACCGAGCAAGAAGCATAAAGACTTCTCTTAGTGGAGCATCCAAATGAACAGACACTTTTAAATCAGAACCATATAAAATTCCATTAGAGAGACGACTAAGGTTAAAGAAGAAAATGGCAGAGGAACAAATATGAGAATACTGGAGTGTCTTGATTGTTTCCATTCTCAACTCCAGACCTGGTCAACAGCAATCAAGGAAGTAGCGAATTTGTTTAAAAATGTTCAAATAAGAGTCTTTAATCGACAACGGTCCTATCACGATTTATCTAAAGTTAAGCTTTTATTAAAGTTAAGATTTATTAAAGTTAAGCAAGGTTGAGAAGACACATGATAGCCTCATCCCCACAAATCCGAAGAATGGTCAGCATTTGATGTTTCAAAGTTCATACACAGCTAGCACACATACTGTGTGCTAGCTGGGTATGAATGGGAATGTAATGTTGATAAAACATTAGAACAACGTTGCAAATTACGTTGGCACAACATCGGTCACCAACGTTGTTTTTATATCATTTTTGGTTACAAATGAGACGTCGCTTTTACAAATGAGACATTGCTTTTACGTTGGCACTTAATGTTTATCGAAGTTTGATTTTATTGTTATTTTTTAAAAATCGTTATATATAATTTACAAATATAAAATAGGAAAAAGTCAAAGTTTAATACACAATTAATAATAATATACCTTGTAATAACTTATATATAAGTATGATGAAACACTTATACTTGGTATACATGCACGTGAAACGACATGCCTTGTTTTTGTTTTTGGCGATTTGTGCATCCATATGCACAGCACGAAATAACCATAGTTCTGCAATTTTTCAAAAAGAAGTAGTTGCTTTTAAAAATTTAACAAAAACATTTTTGAAAACTCAAGTCCAGTTAAAATGAGGCATATATCCCTATGTAATGCTTTCAGAATTTAAGATTTTCGCCGTACTGCAAGATAACGGAGGCTGGCTTCACTTTTTAACTTAAGTCACACATCTAGTTATATTTATAGGTCATTGGTGTAAATATGCTATTATAAAATATAAGCAAAAACTTATTTACGCTTTATTGCAACTTATTTTATTTACATTTTATTTAATTGTTGAAAAATTATTATACTTTTTAATGTTAGTTTATCGTTAATATTTTGCATTATACAATGGTTGTAATTAAACGTGTCGAAGATTTTAATAAAATAGATTATTCTATAAAAGAAACACGTTTTTTTTTAAATTTGATTTTAATAAAAAACGTTGCAATTTAGTTTGGAAAAAAAACCGTTTTAATAGTAAAATGTTTTAACAATAGTGTTTTTAATAGACTTCAAATAAAAAACATTTTTATTTTTCTTTTTTAAAGTAGAGTTTAACAAATTAAAAATAATTTAATTAACCAATATCACTATTCACGTAAAAATTTTTATGTACTGAGCCAAACAACTGAATGATGTTTGACTTTGGGGGAGAACGGAGCTTAGAGGGCCCCGCGGAGATTTACAAATTTTACTCACATGAATAATATGAATGGTAATAATAATATGAGTGTTACTAATTTCTGTTTAATCAAATACATTTTATGAATTTATAATTTTTCACGCATCCCTACGGGCATTTTTGGCTAAAAAATTGAGGAAAAATTTATGGAGGGCTGCTTTACTTTTTTGGCAGGAGGGGGGAACCAAATTTATAGTTACGCCACTAATGCTAGACATTGTACTCTTCCGGTTTAATTAGAAAAGACAGTGCAAACTCTAAATGCGGACGAACAAGAGGCATGTATAGTAGTTTTATTGACTTATCATTTTGAAGACAAAAATAGTCTTTAAAGCATCGAAAAGCTGTATATATATATAGGGTTGCCAGACGTCCGGCTTTATCGGAGGAGAATATAGCGCCAAACCTATAAAAAAAAATTTTTTTTACTGTGTTCTCCTTCGTAAAAGCCGAAGTCTGACAACCATATATATATATATATATATATATATATATATATATATATATATATATATATATATATATATATATATATATATATATATATATATATATATATATATATATATATATATATATATATATATATATATATATATATATATATATATATATATATATATATATATAGACCTTTCTTAAATTTTTGAGTAACTATATGTAAAGTTTTTAACATTTCCACACAAATAGGTGTCATGTTGGAGGGATATGTATTTTTTAAACTTAATCTCAAACTGATTATGCTAACATACCTCCACATCATAACTAACCTAATAAATGTCAACAGAACTAACGATGAATGTCATCAAATTTTATAAAAAAAATAAATAAAGAATAAGATAAAGAAAATACTTGAGTCCTGTAATTAATGTAAAACCGAGAAATAAATTAAGAACATAAAAAAAAAAAAAAGAAAAGTTAAACAACAGTTGCTTAAAACAAAAAAAAAAGGTTAAACTTTGAATTTTAAAAATACTTTACAAAAGTATAAAACTCTAAACAAATTATGTGTGGAACGAACGTTTTGTGGAACGAACTATTATAAACGTTCTTCTGTATCTAAAGTTGTTTCAATACGTGTTCATACCCACAATGTAGTAAACGTTGTTTTACTTGCTTTAACATTTTTACACAGCGTTTTATTACGCGCATGTTATCTTTTTTAAGTGTTCTGTATAAGAAGGTGAGCAAAATGTTTTGCGTAATAAAAAAATCTCACCCTAAATAAAAGCTACGTCAATTTATATTAAAGCGAAAAGCCATCTTAGTAAGTTTATATTTTACACTTTTATATAGTTGATTCGTTATGCTTTCCATTCTTAAAGATGGAAGAAACTCTGATATAAACCATAAAAATTTTCAGTTTATAAAACTAATTGGAATTTAAGAAATTTATATTTTGCATTTAATGTTTTAGATTATTCTTTAACCCGATCGCGGAAAATACTTTATAATATATTTAAATTTATTATAATAAGTTTATTTGATATCATTTATAAACATTATTGTATATTTAAATATAATTTAATTTTTATTTTTATATATTTTTTAAATATTTATTTTATAGTAAACTTTTGGAAGTTTACTTTGAAAAGTTTACTTTGTTAATAATACACATAAAATAAATCGTTACAAAATTATCTACAGTTTGAAGGTTTTTGTTGTATTATTATAACTTGTACGTTTCGTAGGTACGTTTAAGATACGTTTAAGATACGATATCATGACTCTGTGATGGTTAGTACAATATCATGACTCTATGGTGTTTAGTTTTGTTGAGTGGTCTTGTGGCGTCCAGTCTTGTGTGTGGGCGGTTCCTATATAAAGAAAAATTACTTACACTTTCTTTTTAAAAAACTGTTTTGACGATTGACGGTATATGTAAAAGTTTTGATTTTTACAAAACTTAGTTTAACAGTTTAAATGATCGAAAATAACTAAACACTCTTTTCTAACTAAAATTGTAACTTAACAAAAAAAATCGGAATAAAATCTAAAAAGTTGCAACAGCGAGGAACAAACACTTCTCTCATCAATTTTTGTTTAACGATTAATAGTTTGGTGTGTATTAGCTAACCTTGATTGAGATTATTAGCGGAGTCAAAATATGCATTCATTATTTTCTTTTACATTGATTGTAACAATTTTGATATAATCTGCAGCTGCATTTGATGTTCATTGAGAACTTTAAAGCAGGTGCTATCGTGAAATACAGAATTTAGATTGAAAATAGGTTGTCATTAAAATTTTCTGCCAATAGGCATTATAAAATGCCATTTTATAATTTAAAACACGCAAAAATATTTTGAGCAAATAATTTTTCTGTCTATTTTTTTTGTTTTTTAAGTTCATTTTTCTAAAATTCTTTTTTTTACTCTATTTGTTATTTTATTTTCATAGTTTTTTCTTCTAAAAAATTAGAACATTTTGCACAAAACATAAATACAAATCCGTCCGTAAATAGAATTGCTTTATTATCAGTTCACTTTTTTTTTTTTATATATATATGTAATTATTTCGCCGTTTAAATATTGCTATAATACCAAAATGTATAAATAAATATTTACATGGCCGGAGTAAAAAGAAGACAAAAATAGTCTTATCACTAAGCCCCGTAACTTTTATTAAAAAACATTTGAAAATCAATCAATTTTAATTAAGTTTCTTCATTTTAGCGAATTCTATATAACAAAAGTAATAATTACCACTAGATTAAGAAGTATGATAGTAAAACGTTTTCCCTAAAAAAATAACAACAAAATAGTGGGTTAGCGTATTCCATACAAAATAAAACTGTACTCGATAAGCAACTATTTTTAAAACAAGAAAGTCTTAAGTACAAAAAGATGTTTTATTTACTTAAGGAGTCATCCATAAAGGACGTTACCATTTTTTAGCCAATTTTTGACCCCTACCCCCTCCTTTTGTCACCAGTTATCCTTTTTCCCTTCATTCCCCTTGAAAAGGACGTCACAAAATCCTGACCCTTCCCCTATTTTAAACCCCCCCAAAAAAAATTTCATCTCGCAATGATGCTTGAATCTGCTGCTACACCTTTAAAATATTATCATTCATCTTCTTAAAAACACGTATTTACATAGTTTTTCATGTTAATTAAACCAAAATAAAAAATCTATAAAGTGACGTCCTTTTCTGACAACCTCCCCCCTCCCCTTGTCCTTTTTATCTCGACCCCCTCTCCCCCCTATTTGGATGACGTCCTTTATGGATGGCCCCTAAAGACGAGAACTATAAAATTTTAGTTTACTGTGATAACTGAAGTTTCCTGAACTGTGATATACCTGTTCATGTACACTTATAACAGGAGGTCCTCCAAACATTGTTTAAATGCCAGATTCACTCCACCTAAAAGACAAACTGCTATTGTATAAACGAATCTTTGCTTTAAATGCTATAATTTGCTTATCCTTATCTTTAAGAAATTTCCAAATAAAACCTGTACGTAATCTCCAAACAAATTACTTTTTCTTCACAGCTTCACTTTTTTTTTCTCAACTCAGCTAACTTGCAGTCGTCTAATCCTCTATTAACTATGGTTTAGTTTTTTCTGAGATGAAAACGCTGTTTTTCTATGCAATTCAATGAACTCATCATCATTCAAACCCTCCTTTAATTTTAGCTTGACTATTCTGAAATTGTTATTAAGATATTGTTTTTCTACGCAACTCATCGAGTTCAGATTCAGAATTGCTTGCCTTAGCTTCAGCTAAGCAAATGTATCACAATAAACCGTTTATTTTATTAAATAAACGGTTTGCGTTACTACTTCATTTTCTTCAGTCTGGTCAGAAATAGCTACTGGTTCATCTGTTCTTATTGAACTTCTGATTGAGTTGTTATTTTAAACTTTATTTGACTGATCAAAAAGTTAAAGAAAAAATTATTATTTTATGATAAAATCTTAAAATAGTAATAGTAATAGTAATACAAACTGCTGTAACGACGATTGTCGCGGAGTATAAAGTTTAAAATTTATACTTTAACAGCCGTTAACAAATGTTTATCTAGTCTAGCTTTAAAAGAATTTACTGTCATTGCAGAAACAACTTTTTAAGGTAAAGCATTCCAATGAGGTACAGCGGTGGATCCAGCATTTTTTGTCTTTGAGATAGCTAACTTCCATACATGTAGCTAACTCCAAACATTTATATGTTTATACTTATGTCAAATAAGGATGGTTTGCAAAAAATTGAGATGATTGGAGCCTCCCAAAATTTGAGACGTACCTGCCCCAAACGTGAGAGCAACAAGTTGATAAAATATTTTTTGTACTATTCTTAACAAGACTTATATTTATCAATAAATTTTAAATTCCATTGTAAAATATTTTAGCGCTCAAAAATTATGATCATATAAAAATTGTAACCCCTTCGAATTGAGGGGGATTCAAACTTTACATGGTCATAATTTTTGAACGCTGAAATATTTTACAATAAAATTTAAAATTTATGGATAAATATAAGTCTTGTTGAGAATAGTACAAAAAATATTTTATCAACTTGTTGCTCTCACATTTGGGGCAGGTACATCTCAAATTTTGGGGCTTTTTTGTTCCCAGGCTCCAATCATCGCAATTTTTTGCAAACCATCCTTATTTGATATAAGTATAAACATATAAATGTTTGGAGTTTGCTCCATGTCTGGAAGTTAGCTATCTCAAACACCAAAAAATGCTGGATCCGCTTCTGAGGTATCACTCTGTTAAATATCTTTTATTTTAAATAATATCACAAAGTTAAATAATATCTTTTTTAAAGATAAAACAACTTTATTTGACCGCCATCACTTTACTTAAGGTGAATTTCCACTCATCCGTTTTTCTACGGGAAAGAAAAATAATCACGTGAGCATGCGCAGTTTTCTTTCGGACAAGTAAAATCTTTTATTACGCATGCTCACGTAATTATTTTTCTTTCCCGTAGAAAAACGGATGAGTGGAAACTCGCCTTTAATTAAATAAAATGAACCAATACCAATTTTTTTTTTTTTTTAATTTCATTTTATAGCTTTCTTATTAGAATAAACATAGAGTTTTAATAGACTGGAGGGAGAACGAAGTTAAAATACGTCATTTCTCAAAGAACAGTCTTTGTAGTAACAATTTTCTATTAAACACCGTGGAATTATCATAATTTAAAGTTAACCAATTGCATTTCACTTTTAACAAAAGTTATCCAATGATATTGTTTCAAAACGTAAGCAATTGAAGCTTTAAAAATAAAAGATGGAAGTTTAAAAAATTCGTAAACAATTTTTGAAGTTATTTTTTAGTTGTGCTTTTTGAACTACTAATTATAAATTTCTAGATTAGAGTTGAATTAATAAATGTCTAGATAAGAGTTGGAAATATATTTGCCAGGTTTTTTATATCTTTATTTTTAGAATAAAGCAATTCGCTTTTAAATTCAGCAAAAATACTACAACACAAAATAAAAGCCTGGAGAGATTTAATAAGTGCCTGGGCGAAAGAACATTCTTAAAGAATGTAACAAACCTAGAGCTGAACAGTCATGCAAAAAATAAGGTTAAATTAATGTCTAAAACATTGATATTTATACCTTTAATTGAGTTGTGCAAGAAACAATTACTTCGCCTTAATCGTTTTTTAACTTAATTTTTGTTGTAATTAAACTTCTTAATTGATCGAATAGTTATTAAAAACCTATCCAATAAACTTTTAAGAGATTAATCCACTTTGATTACATCTTTTAAAGCTTACAAATTACATTTTAACATTTTTTATTTTTTTGCAAAAGCGCCATTTTGACTTGCCGCTGGAATAATTATACAACAAAGATTTTTCATTTTCGGCTTCGTTCTCCCTCCGGCTATTATATCTCTTTGGAATAAATTATTCGAAACTTTTTTACACAAAAAAAGGACAAAATTGCAATTAAATTGAAAATAAAAATAAGCTTACAAAATCTATTTTATATTTTTAAAATCTATTTTATATTTTACTTTCTCAACTAATTTGACTTATTAGCGTAGGCAGTCAATAAACGTATAACAATGCTAAGTAATATAATAATTTAATAAAAAATAAAAACCATTAAATATTGCATCATAAATAAATTTTTGTTATTAAATTAATATATCTATTTTATGGTATTTAATCTTTTCCTTGTTAAAGAATTATTTTTAATATAATATACAATATTTCGAGGGGTTATTTTAAGCTTCTTTATTCAAGTAATATGATATTATTACTTGAATAACTAGGGTATATATAACCCTTACAAATATGGCATATTATATTGTATATTAAAGATAATTTATTAATAAGGATACGTTTTGTTATCGTAAACAGATATTTTAATTTAAATTAATACAAAATAAGCTATATTAAAAAATGGTAGACGCTTTTTATTTTGTAATTAAATTAAAACATCTGTTTACGTCAAATCAGCGAAATAAATCCAATTTTCATAATAAATCATATTCTTATCGTAATGGTATAAATTTTTTATGCAATTTAGAAGAGGTATAACATACCTGGAGAAAAAACAAAGAAAAATGCGTCATTTTTCAAGGAGCAATCTAGGTAGTAAAGTAGTTTTTAATAAAATACGGCAAAAATTATCATAACTTAAAGTTAAACAATCACACTCAACTTTTAAAAAAATTATTAACTTTAAAAAATGTTGTTTTAAGACGTCATAATCAAGCGAAGTATTGCAAAAGTTAAGAAATATTGGTAAACAATGTTTACTGATTTATTTATTATACTACTAACAGATTTCAAGATAAAAAAAGAATTAATAAATGTCTTGATTAAAATGGGTAGTATTTTTTGCCGAATTTTCAAAAAAGTATTTTATATTCATATCTTTAAAATATAGCTTTTTGTTTTTAAATCCAGCAAAAGCTAATACAAAATAAAATCCTGTAGAGATTTAGTAAGTTCCTTGTCAAAAAAACGTTCTTTAAGAACCTACCATATCTATAGCTAAACGGGGAAGCAAAAGATACTTTTATTTTGTTTTATTTTTTTAAAGGTATGGTTTAAACAAGTAGTAGAGATACTTTAGATCATAATTTTTGTTATAGTTTTTTTTTGATAGTTCTTGATAGTTCGAATAGTTGTTAAAAGCTTATCCAATCAACTTTATAGACAATAACTCACTTTAATTACAGCTTTCAAAGCTTACAGAATCCATTTCAAAATTTTTCTTTTTCAACACAAAGGCACTATTTTGGCATGCCGGTACCACGGTTTTAAACGATTTTCGGTTTTGTTCTCCCTCCAGCTAGTTAAGTCAATCATACAACGACAATTTGCCATTAAAAAAGCATTGAAGCCAACACTTGAAAGTTGCTCCACACACCGAATCTTACTGCAACTTATAAAAGAGGAAGCGCCGCAAATGATTTTTAATACTGTTTAATTAGAATTAAGTAATACGAAAGAAAACGTTTATCTGCAAGTAGAGAATCTCCATTTTATTAGTTTTATTACTTTTGATAAAAAAAGAATTAAACCTGGCTTTAATTATTTTTTAATTTGTGATGGCGCAAAGAATTTTAATTGACCTATTGTAGACAAAATTACGCCTTTATATAAACTTAAGTAATGAAAAACTTTTCAAAACGTCCAGAACTTTTTAGACATTTTTAGAAAAATTTCTCATTATCTTTTAGTCAGACCAATATAATGCTGATCTGAAATCTAGCTTTCGGTTACACGAATTTCGCAAGTTCAAAGATAAAAATCTAAAAAATAAAGCTTAATAATAATAGAAGTGCAATAATACCAGTGCTCAGTAATATATATTACAACAACAATTAAGAGCGCTGAATAATATATATTAGCGTTTTGGAAACGGTTTCGGAGCCCATAACTTTATTATAAAAATATTTATTATAGAAAGATTTATTCATCTTATTATACAAGTGAATAAAAGTGGATTCTTATTATCGGTTAATGCAAAAATACTATGTATGCGTCACTAACACTGCGTTGCTGATATTTACTCTGTGTTACACTTATAGTGTTCTTGCTTTTCAAAGTTTTTAACATAAAAGCTAACCCTACTATCAATTTAATCTTAATTAAGTTACAGAAATGATAGCGTTTTTGCATTTAGTATTTTTACCGTCAACGCTTAACCACAAAAAGAACTAAACTGTTGGTTCAGTTGAACTAAATTTTAAATTAACCTAATTTTCTATTTAAATACAAATGTCATTTAAAAAATAAATTCGGCTAAAACAAATTGAAGTAGTCAATGGAATAAAGCGAGAGTTAAAAATAAATAAAACCTATCTTTTTAAACTCCTAAAAATGAACGTTCAAACATTTAATAGAATACGTGTTTAAATATACGCTTAAGCTACCCTAATTTTGGTATTGAAAAGTTTTCGTCTTTTTTTTTATCTTTCTAACTTATCTTGTCTGCGCAATATATTCGAATATTGTTGCATTAATCGATAATAATGCACTTTGACTCACAAGTACAATTAAATGAATAAACTTTTCTAAAAAAAAGGCGTCACACGTTGAGATACAATGTTAATAGCTATTAATTAGTCTAAAAATAAAGATATTTTAAGCAAAAAAATAAGCTAAGCTGATGCGGTTTTTGTAAACGACTTTTCATTGAAACAATTATTGCGGGTGATGCCCATTATGATTTTAATAGTGAATAAAAGAATGATTCCTCTGGAAACTGTATCTCCATATAAATGACAAATACAATAGCTGATTTAAATTATTTTTTTTTGTTCGTAAAAATAACAATAAAGAGACAAAATAAAGATTTATTTTAGTTTAATTAAGCAGCTTAACACTTTAAATATAAAATCTTATTTTTTAAATAAAAATTTTATTTTTTAAACAAAAACTTAAAAGTCTTTATATTTTATGTAATTTAAATAAAATAACGACGATATCAATACTCGTTTTGAATATTGTTAAACGATTGTTCAAAAAAATAAAAAATTAATTTCATAGTTAAAAAATGCAGCCTTGGCGCAGTAGTTAGAGTTCTGGCTCAACGCCGGCTCTTGCCTAATAAGCAACATTGGTGACTAATAAGCAACATTGGTAACTAATAATTGGTAAAGAATCAGGCATGAACTTTCTAGTTAAATGCTCTTCCAAGGTGCTTTGATATAAGACTGTAAGGACTCGTCCATAAATTACGTCACGTTATAGGATGGGAGGGGAGGGGTTGGTGGTTTTGTGACGACTCATACAAAACTTGATTCTTAAGTATTAAAATTTTGTGATGAGGGGAGGGGGGGGGGGGAAGGTCAGATTTGGTCAAAAATTGCGTGACGTAATTTATGGACGACCCCTAAGGACTTTTGATAACTACACACACACACGCACGCACACATACACACACGCACACACAACTTACACGCACACGCAACTCTAGCAACTTATTTTTTACAGCACTCATTCTTACTTAAAGCAATGAACGATTTTAATTACGTTTTAAAAAACAGCTAAATTAAATAACTCTTTCAAAAAAATTATGACTTTATAAAATCTCTTTGGGTTCTCTTTGATAAAAAAGTGCTATATACAACAAAGCTAAAATTTTAATTTTACTTATCCTTGTTGCATTATATACTTTATGAGTATTTTGAAAACATGTACACTTTTGACCTTATCTCTTCCCCGTTACTCATATTAATGCTTTCAATTAAGACAATCAAAATTAGAAAAATAAAGATTTTATTACAAGAAAAGAATCGTACTTAAAACAAAAGTTCACAAGTCAATCATATATAAAAAATAATGTTCTAATGTATAAAAATCTTTATAAAAAAAAAATCATTTATAAAAAAATAATATCAACATATTGAAAAAGTTACTGTTTGATATAAATTTAATCTATTTATGTATAAAAAATAATTTTATAATATAATATATATATATATATATATTTATATATATATATATATATATATATATATATATATATATATATATATATATATATATATATATATATATATATATATATATATATATAATTTTTATAAAAAAGATGTATCATTCCAGTGATTATTTTTTTGTCTTCGATAACGAACAACAGAAGCATCAACTTGAATAGCAGCCCTTTTATCACTAATGTCATTTTTTAATCTTTGCTGGGTGAGTTTTAGCATCTCTACGTTTTTAGAAATAGCATCAAAGTACTTTTCTAGTGCTGCATTTTTTTCATTAAGTAGCCTAGTTTCAGGTAGTAATGGTATTGTTCTATTCCTATGAATTGGGCAACTTCGCTCAGACAATGTTAAATCTGTATAATTTACTGGACCCTACAAATGATAAGATACTGGACCCTACAAATAATAAGATACTGGAACCTACAAATAATAAGATACTGGACCCTACAAGTAATAAGATACTGGACCCTACAAATAATAAGATACTGGACCCTACAAATAATAAGATACTGGACCCTACAAATAATAAGATACTGGACCCTACAAATAATAAGATACTGGACCGGGTAAATAATAAGTTACTGAGGTTTATAAGTAATATAAAATAATTCCAACGTTCATATTTAAATAAATACCTGAAACTAAAAAAAGTAATTTCAAAATATTGAAAAAAAGACTTATACCAAGGATCGCCCTCTTGCAATATCAGTAATAAACTGACATCTTGAGTCATGATGCAACGCAATAAGATTCTCTCCATTCCAACATTGCAAACGTTTCTGTAATATAAAAATATTATTAGTAAAAAAATGATTATCATAAAAGTTTAATTTCAAACCTGAGAAAAAAAAAATCAATAAAATAAAAAAATCAAAAAATAAAGTATCATTTAATTAGGGTTGCCAGATGTCTCTCTTTTATAAGGGAGAATACAGCGCTAAACTTGTAAAAATAAATATTTTAATGTGTTCTCCTTTGTAAAAACCAGACACCTGGCAACCCTAACTTGAGTTTAAAAAAATAAAAATAAGGAACAAAACTTCATATTAGTATATAGCATTATGGGGGTAAAATTTACTTATTTTGAATTATAATTTTATATAAAACTTATAACATGAAACAATTTTATAATATATTAAAAAATTTTTTTAATGGCTTAAAGCATTTCATTTTTTAATCAGTATTTTTTTCATTTCACTTGTTATGTGATAGTGGTAGAGTGCTCGCCTCATGAGCAAGAGGTTTCAAGTTTGATCCGAACATGTTTCTGGTAGTACCGTGCTCAACTTGTTTCTCTGCACAGCAGCCTTATTTGTCAAGCTTTGTGTTTCAAAGTTATAGAGTTGCAGTGCAACTATACAGTTTTATGAATAACTTAGATGTAATTAAGTGGTACAACCTTCCTATATTTATAGAAAAATTAATTACAAGAGGGAACAATAAAAGAATATGTAGACAACAAAGCATAAAAAAAAAAAAAAAAAACAGTCAACATAATTTATTTATAAATAGAATAGAGGACAAATGGAACCATTTACAACAAGATGTTGTGTATGCAAAAAACTTAAATATACTCAAAAACCTTTATGGCAATTATATGCAAAATTGTAAAAAGCTGTTACAGTCTGACATCTACTGTTGTTATACTCTACACAAAAAATAAAATAATCAAACAAGCTGTGATACATATCACAGCTCGTCTAAATATTTTATTTATTTTTTGTAACTATAAGTAAATAAATCAGCAAATAAATTAAAAAAAATTTTCATGCTTACCTTTGTTGATTCGGATTCTGCCACTTTTTTCATTAAAAATTCATTAACATTTGAATGTATCCCATTTTGAAGTGCAGTAACTTCTTTCATTTTGATTACAACTGTAGACTTTAATTGTCGTGAACTCTTAATGGCATCATAGCTCATTGAAATAGCTTGTGTGGCTTCAGATATGTATGCACCAACATTGTTTATACCAGAATAAGTAACTAAAATTATTCTTATAACTTTAAATAAGACATATTGAATAAAAATCATTATGTCTTCATGCCAAATTTGAGTCATATATATTAAACAGTCAAAAGAACTTATTAATTCTTTCCAAATTAGGCAAAAATGTATTTATATTAATTCACGAAAACTTTATACTTTAAAGCATTGGCTGACACTTTGTGAAACATATATAAGTGTATGTAGCCCATTCCCCTGTCTTCATAGTAGTTCTAAAAGAAACTATGTATAAATATACCCTTAGAATTATATAAGAAAGGAAATCTTCAGCCCCGCTCCAAAATGTTAGCCTATGTTTTTAAGCAATATAATGAAAAATTTTAAAACACATTACTAATCTAAATTTAAAACATATTATACCTATATTGCAACTTGTTTTTTGTGTGGATTTATTTGGAAACCCCAATAAAGTTTCCCCATGAGAAATAATATTAAGAGAATGTTTACATTCTGAAACAACATTATTTAATATTTTTCTTGCATTGCTAAGAACCTGAAGTTGGATTTGGATAGATCTAAGCTGAAACTCTGACAACTTTTTTATTTGTAGAAGAATACTTTTTTCACTGAGAAGAAAATCATCTGCAGCATCTCTATCCTATTAAAAAACCCAAAATTTACTCAAGAAAATGTAAAATTTCATGTAATCATTTCTATTTACTTGAAGTAACTTAAACCTAAATAAAACTCAGTATTAAAAATAAAAAGTATATTATTAAAGATTTTTTTCTTTCATAAAAAACTAAAATAATTTGATTTAATTAAAATCATAATGGTGCCTAACTCGTTCTTGTTGCTGTTGAATTTGAAATAATATTGTTACATCATCAAATAAAATAGCATCAATGATATATATTTCAAGTAAGTTGTTCAGATTAATAAATATTTATATTATGTATTGGCTGATATTTCAAGGACACGTGTAGAGTCAAATTTAAAAAATGACATGTATATAAAATATATTATAATATATATTTAGATGGCTTTACTGGCTTGCTTAAATCCTAACTTCTGTTTCAATTTATGTACTGAAACAATTAGTATGTTAACAGATAACATAATTTCCTAATATATTTGTGTACTTTAATTCTTAAAATTTGTACTTTAAATTATTAGAAAAAAAAGAATAAACAAAGAATAATAAAAAAAATTATTACTGCTACAACCTAAACCAATAGTCTGTGTAGCAACACACCTTAGCATATTCTATTTAGATAGCTTGTAAATGTATCTACTGAAGCCTCTGCAGCTACCTATTCAGTATGACAGTATTATTGTGTATCTAAAATGTATATATATACTTTTTTTTTTTTTTTTTTCGAACTCTGAATATATATGTATATATATTTTCTTTTTTTTACGAACTCTGAATTTTGAACTCTATATATTTCGAACTATATGTATGTATGTATGTATGTATGTATGTATGTATGTATGTATGTATGTATGTATGTATGTATGTATGTATGTATGTATATATATATATATATATATATATATATATATATATATACAGTGCCAACTGGTAGCGTGTGTGAAGTGTGCAAAGCACACAGGTGGCAAATTTTAAGAACAACAGTAAATGAAAAATTGCCAAAAAATATGATCAAATTTTATCAGTCATTCTGATAAAATTTGATCATTATTAAGGGTGGCAATTATTTTTGCACACAATTAGAAATGCTCACGAGCTGGCTCTGAATATATATATATATATATATATATATATATATATATATATATATATATATATATATATATATATATATATATATATATATATATATATATATATATATATATATGTATATATATATACACACACACACATATTTATTTTTTTGTTAATTCATCTCTGAGAAGACCACTACAGACGAGGAGGCTACTTATTTGTGGTTATAACCCTCTCTCAACTCTATAACTCCGAAACACCAACCTTGACGAACAAGGGCGCTGCGTGGAGAAACGAATTGAGCGCGGTACTACCAGGGATATGGTGGGGATCGAACTTGGAACCTCTTGATGAAGCAAGCGCTTTACCACTACACCACTACCACATTTAATATCTATATATATATATATATATATATATATATATATATATATATATATATATATATATATATATATATATATATATATATATATATATATATACACACATAACATAATATCACAAGTACTTAATAAAATAATACACCTTTTCATTTTGGGGTCGCAATTTTCTTATTTTAATTGACTTTTCATTTAAAAGCAAATCTCTTCTAATATGATCAAGAACTTTCTCTACATTATCTTGAAGTTTTAATAGTGATTTTATTTCTTCATCAACATTAAGGAGAGTATCTGTGAGTTTTGAGATGATAGATTTAGTCGATCTAATATCAGCTTGAATACGATTAAAATATTTTTTAACTTCTATACTATCTTCATTTAAAGATGGTAGAGCTGAAGAGTTATATCTGTTTTTAAGACATTTTAATTTATTACTTTGCACTATTGCAGATTGAGCTAATTTGATATTTTTCTCTGTGAGTTCATTTGAATTCTTTGGAGATGTAGTTACTTCCATTGCATATTATCTATGAACAAATAAAACGTTTTTGTTAACATTTATAACTAAACAAGATAAGTTTAGTCACCAAAAAAAAGATATAAAACCAGGCTGCATTAAAAGTTTTTTTTCATCATATTAAGTTTTCTAAAATGAAAAAAAAGTTATGATATAGTTATTTTTATTATAGTTATTTATAACTTTTGTTAAAAATAACTATAAAAATAAAGAAAGCTTTTATTAAATAATTTTTCAAAAATAAAAATGAACTATTTAAAGGTAATAATACATCATTTTAAAATAATAAAAAAACAATTTTATTTAGATGTTGCTAATATAATATAATAGCAATAAAACTAATATATTCTGTGTCACTTTTGCAACACATCGCATTAAAAGTAATTTATATATTTTTTGAATTTTCAAATGCATTGAAATACTACTATTACAAAAAATTTTTATCATATCAGAATTTACGAAATAACATAAATTTTGTTTAATCAAAAATATTTTCGCATAAAAAAATAATTTTTAAAATAAGAGCATTAAAGATATCATTTGCATTAAAGCCATATAATTTTTATTCAGAAGCATTTTTGATGAAACTATAGATGTCGATATAAGTTATTCGGAAATCTTTTACACCAGGAAGATTAACTGATTACCTCTCAGAGCAACTTTTTAAACAACACAGTTGTCATAACACCCCAAAAATTACGGTACCGGGTTTATTTTAACAGTGATATAGAAACACATGCTTAACATTAAAAAAAGCTTATTTCTGCTAAAATGGCTGATGTCAGTGTCGCCCTCTAATTGGACGAAACAATTATGAAACTATATTATTAAAAATTGATTGCAAATTTATACGTTTCGTAGCTCAAGTATAATTAAAAATTCTCAAAAAAATATTCTCAAACCTGTTTAGGGAATAAGTTAATATTATTTAATTCGAAAAAGCGATACAATCATGAAGTTAATTTTTTACATTTTATTACATTTTTCATTCCCGTTTAAAGATAAAGTCAGTGTGTTTTAGTAAAACGTTTTAATTGTGATAAAGTCTTCAAATATTGTTGTATTTTTTAAATTGCATCAAAAAAAAGGTAAAAAAGTTTTTGATTTTTTTTTCAGGGATAAAGAAAATGTTGTTTCACATAATTTTTAAATATAGATGATCTTTTACAGTTAATGTAAATAGTATTTTTATATCCAATAGATTACTGGTCAAGGTCAACATATTAAAACACTTAGAAAATTCTTTAGTTTAAAAAGAAAATAGAATTAAAAAATTTTTTGCTGATATTTTTATCTCATAAACGTGTGTGTGAGTCTAAGTGTGTGTGTATGTGTGTGTGTGTGTGTGTGTGTGTGTGTGTGTGTGTGTGTGTGTGCATGTATATGTGTGTGCGAGTGTGTGTATACATATATACATACATACATACATACATTTACACAATAATATTTGTGTATACACAAATAAAAGATGTCTTTGATAATGCCATTCTGAAATACAGTCATTTACATAGGGTTAAGTATGCACATTAACTGAGGGTTTGGGTAGTTACTACCTAGGTATGAAGGACTAAGTTAATGTAAAAAGATTTTTTTTTGTTATTCTTTGTTTTTGTTTTTATAACATTTATTTTATTTTTAATTATTTCTATTTTATTAATGTAGTTAATTTAAACAACATGTACACAGGGTCCATAAGTACAATACAGTCCTTTTAAAAATCATGATTAAAATGTAATACATGTAAACCACCATTATACAAATTACACAAACATGTATATATTTATGATATAAATATATATGTATTTGTATAAAAAAATATTTAGCTGCACATAAACTGTCTCTAGTTCATACACTGACTGAGGCTTTGAGTTAAGACATAATTTATATACGTTATATGTAATAATATAATTTATATACGTAATATTAAACGGTAATTATTTTGAATAGCAATTGTTGCTAAAAAATTTAAAAAGCAAAATTGCATAAGTGAAAAAACATGTGTCAGAAAAAATTGTTGAAAAATTTTATATTATAAAAATGTAACTAGAATTATATATGTTTTTATATTATTATAAGTTTTTATTATTTGTTTAATTTTTTAAGTTTAAGTTTTGCTTTGATACTTTAATATTTTAGTGATGCAATTTTTATGATTACAATTTTGAATTTAGTTGATTGAACACTGATGGCCTTATACTGAAATAGGTACCTGCATGGACCTCAGTACATGCATTAACTAGCTATCTAGATAGAACATGTAGGGAATGCCACTACATTCACTTTGTGTTTGGGTCAATGTAATAATTGTTTTTTTAAATATTTTTTTTTTACTGAAAAATTTGATACTTATTATTTGTTGTGTATGTGTGTGTGTGTGTGTGTGTGTGAGTGTGTGTTGTGTTGTGTTTTGTGTGTGTGGTTATATATATATATATATATATATATATATATATATATATATATATATATATATATATATATATATATATATATATATATACATATATATATATATATATATATATATATATATATATATATATATATATATATATATATATATATATATATATATATATATATATATATATATATATATATACATATGCAAATTAAACTTTTTTTTAATTTTTTATTTCCAAAGTTTTTTTAATTACTGTATACTTTATCATTTACTGTTGTTAAACTTCGCAACTGTACAGATTTTGGGTTGTTATTTTTTTAAAACTAGTAAACAAATTATTCTTAATTTTCATTTTAATAGTAAAGATCTTTCTAAAAGATTTGATTGAAAATTATTTTTTACATTATATTTAAATTAAAAATTATTTTTGGTAATTATATATTGAAAGTTGTTTGAATTTCTATTTAAATTTTTTTAAATTTCCTTTTTTAATAAATTTAAATAGTTTTAAAATCTGCAGCTGTACAGATGCTCAGGTTGTTTTTTTTTTTAAATAGTAACATAATTTGTTTTTTAATTTTTATTTTAATTGTAAAGATTTTTTTCAAAGATTTTATTGGAAATTATTTTTTTACATTTTATTTAAATGAAATATTTTTTTTTATAATTATAGATTCATAATTATTTACAATGAGATAGTAATCTTCTAAAGTTTTTAAATTTTATTTAGAAAATATATATATAACCAACATAAAAATGGGTGCAAAAGGAACAAAGCTTACTCCAGAAGAAATAAAAGAACTTCAAAAAGCGACATACTGTAATTTCTTAAAACTTTAATTTATTTCAATAGCATTTTTTGGGTGTCATTACCTTTTTAATTTTTTTTTTATTTGTAAAAAACTTTTTATTTGTAAAAAACAAAAAATCTTAATAAGGCTTAATGTTTTTTTTTTTTTAATTTATTGATAAGATGTTTGTAGAGCCTCCTTTTTTTCAGTAAAATTGTGAAATCTTATTTGCAGTTTAAAATTTAATTAATTTTGACATTTTTAAGATTTTTTGAATATCACAGGTTTAATGTTTAATAAAAAAGAAAAGAAAAACTCTATTAACTTTTTAATTAAAAGTCAATAAAGAACTTTTTAATTTAAAAATACTAATATTTACAAAAGACAATATATTAAAAGACTAAAGTTTTTACTTTTTTTATGCATTTTGTTTTTATATATATTTACTTTTTTTATGCACTTATATATATATATATATATATATATATATATATATATATATATATATATATATATATATATATATATATATATATATATATATATATATATATATATATTATTATTAAGAATTAACTTGTTGCTATGTGCACATGTGTACTTAAGTTTTTTTATACTGTTTAGATTTTATATTATAGACAATTTTATTCAAATAAAAACTCATAAACATTTTATTAGTCTAAATTTAGTTCAAAAAACTTACTGAGTTGTAAAATTCTTTTAGAAATTGTTATTTAAAAAACTTAATTTTTTAAAAGATTTTCTTTAACAGGATTTCAATAAATGACCATTTTAATTTTTATTTAAGGCCTTCTTTTTATTTTGTAGTTAGTAATGGCTCAAATCTATGGTTCTTATTACTTTTGTTTTATTTATTTATTTATTACAATTTTATTTGTAAAAATTTATTCATAAATTTTGATTTAAAAGAAAAACACCTTTTTTGCTTTAAGAAAGTATAACTTTTTTAAGTTTTTCAAGTGTAACTGTAAATCATTCAAACTAAGCTTCACTTTATAAGACTAAATAATTTCTACTGAACAGTGTTAGTAGGTTTAAACCAAATGGTTGTTCAAACCATTTTAAAAGGTATTGGTTTAAAATCAATTGAAAAATTTTCAACAGGAACATTAAATAAGGGAATATACTTACAAATATAGTTATATCTTTAATGAAAGTGTTTAATATGGATGTGTTTATTTATAAGCATAAAAGTAGGAGCAGGTTTACTAGCTTAGTTTGTTTAAGGCTGAAAAATACATTAAAGGGGTTGAAAAAGTACAAAAAAGCTTGAATTAAAAATATAAATATTGATAGACAATAGCAATGATTTAAAAATATAAAAAAATTATTGTATGTAATAATCAAGTTACAAAATTATTAAAAGAATTCTTTATGAAAATAATTTGCATTGCATATCACAATATCCACAAAACAAATTTAAATTTATGCCATGGATTTTTTGTTCTTCTTTTCAAAACAATTAATTATTGTTATTTTCAAAAGTTATTCTTATATTTGAAAGTCCACCCTAATTTTAAAATTAATTTTTAAAGTGCTAAAAACTTATCATTTTTCTAACCCTAAAGAAAACAACAATTTAAGTTTGTGATTATTTTATTCCATGTGTTTAATGCTTTATTCTACGTTTATAATTTTTTTTGTTTTGTGGAATTAAGTATCAGTAAATGACTCATTTGTTTATTGTTTAAAATTTTTATTGGTACAAGCAAAAAATGTACCAATAACACATGGTATCAGTTAATTATAAAATATAGAATGTTTGTACCATTAAAAAATTGAAATAAATAATATAAGAAAATAAATATAACAAAGCTTCTAGAAATCGCAATTTAAAACAAAAAAAAATTTAACATTAAATAGCTTATGAAAACTTTACCATTTAAAACAAACTTAAAAATATTTAAAAATTTTATGCATTTATTAAATAAATTTTTTTGTCAATAATTAAATAATAAGTATAAATAAATTTATCCAATAAAAATTGAATCAATTATTTTATTGTTATTATGAGATAAACTTCAGTTTTCATAACTTATTGTTTTACTGTCAATAAAACTGCTATAAAGTTGCCCATTTGAACTATCCAAGCATTTGGTATGTCTGTTGTCTGCAAACTATTCTTACATGCTAACAGATCAGGGTTGAAAAAAAAACTAATAGTTATGGATTTTTTTGGAAAAAAAGCATGGTTTTTTGGTTTAAATTTAAAAAAAAAGCTATATTGATCTTTTTTGGCTTACATTTAATTTTTATTCAAGTATAAGGCATGTGTATTTTACTTATTTATTTTCTCGATGACAACATTCATTCTTACATTACAAAATCTAGGTAGCCAAAATTATTTAAGCTAGGCTAATAAGTGTTGCATATATTGTCCTACTCACCTAACTTAGTGACAACATGTTATTATATGTTCTAATAAATAAAACCATTTGTTCTTTTAACAATCACATTTTATCATTTTTCCTAAACATTAGCAAGAGGTCATTGGCAATAGTGGTGCATCAGGTTTGTTCATGAAGGCGATCATATGCCTTTAAATGACTTAAATGACATTTAATATTTTTTATGAAAAATTTTATTAAAAATAGACAAATGTTTTAAAACAATTTAGTAACTTTAGTCTTTACTAATGTTTATTATTAGTGAAAGCCTTTTAAAATCACTAATGATTTTTTTTAATATAAAATTTTAATGAAATTTATACAGTTTTTATTTATTTATATTTATGTATTTTTTATGATAAATGGGAAATCTTTAAATCAAATTTAAAAGAAATAAAAAAATAACAAAAAAAATAAATGTATGTTTAAACAAAGCATAAAACGGTTTAAAATAGTCTCAAAAGCACAAATACTATAAACATCACTGATGTTATACTGACATAGCTTAAGGCTTTATACAATTACTAGATTTTTTAAACTACAGAATATATTGATCACTCTATTAATAATTTAGTTTACATTTAGTTGTGCATCATGACTTAAAAAAACTAAAATAAAATAATCTGACTGAGTTAAATGAAATTTAGCAATTTTTTGCTATTCTTTCAAGCTCTATTACATATCATAATATGGATAACATTAGTCAGAAATTTTCTCTTATGTTATTTTTTTAAGGTCAAGTTTTAAGTTTTTTTTTTAGAATGTATAGTAAATATTTAGAAAAATCAAACAAGCATAACGCATATACAGTGGAGAAAATAGAATTAGCCTCACCTTGTACTAATCCAATATTTTATAAATCTGTAAATAAATTTGTACATTATATATTTTGTATCCTCACATATATAGTTATTGTTACAAACCACAGCTTTTTAGATTATATTATAGCTTAATTAAATTGTGTTACATTTGATAAAAGTATAAAATGTATAATTCTTGATATTTGTGGTAACAAATAGAATTAGCCTCAGTAATTATTAGTTTTAGTTCACTTGTAAATTTTGATCTGATGATACATATTTGTGACTTTTTTATTATTTGTAAGTTAAACAAAGACTGTGAAATCAGTCCTCATAAAGTTTTTAACGTTTTGTTTTTGATACCTGAATGCAAAACAAGATGTGGTAAGCATTTAACAAGTGAAGAATTAGCTGTAATCAAAACATACAAACATACAGACTTATCGAATTGGAAAATTGCAAAGAAAATTAAAATATCTCCAAAATGGTTAATAATTACTTTAAGATGTGTGTTAATTATGGGGCTTATAAGGGAAGTGGCGGGAAAATTTAACACGGGAAAGAATTGATGGTTGAAGGTTTTTTTTTTCAATAAGACAATGCTACCATCCATAATTCAAAGTTTTCAAAAGCTTGGTTTAAAGATAAAAATATCAACGAAATGGAGTAGCCTGCATGTAGTCCAGATCTAAACCCGATTGAAAATCTATGGGGAATATTTTCTAGAAAGGTTTATGAAAATGGTATGCAATTTGAATTCACATTGGAGCTGAAAATGTGTTTTAGAGAAGCTTGGAATAAAATATCTTCAGAAACCATCCATAATCTTGTGACTACACCTTTTCAAGATGTAAATGAGAACATGAAAGTTATAATTAAGAAGTCGTAATATGTAATTAAGAAACACAACATGTAATTGAGAAAACGTTATATGTAATTGAGAAACACAACATGTAAATAAGAAGTCGTAACATGTAATTAAGAAACACAACATGTAATTGAGAAAACGTAAGATATAATTGAGAAATCATAATATGTAATTGAGAAATCGTAACTTGTAATTGAGAACACATAAATTAAAATAGCAAATTCACAGTCTAAGTTTGTAGGTTGTTACAAAAGGTCTTTTTGGACATGAATTTAAGTTATAATCTTAAATTTTGCTTTTGTATGCACAAGTAATAATAATTGAATTGAAAGATCGTTGTGTTATATGCCAATACACTATGACCCGAAAGTCTGTGATTAAGCTAAATCCGTGTCAACATTAATGTCACCAAATTTGTTTACGTCCAGTTCTGGAACAACCAGATTCAAGTTGTCCGATTTGTCGGCATGAAATACACACAACTGAACAAGTTGAAAGGAAACGTTACGTTTTATCTTCTCCAAATGACAGGAGAAGAGTTGTTGAATGTGCGGAGCGATTTGAAGATTGGGTGAATCTCGCGCAAATGCTAGGTATCAAATATAAGACAGCATACAATTGGGTTTGCAGCAGAAATTCAAATTTCATCGGAAAAGGAGGTTTTAAACCGAAAAAGTTGACAGAAGATCAAATCGAAGAAACATTAACATGGATTAAAAATGATTGTCAATTAACATTGGTGGCCATCAAAACAAAGATATTAAGACAATTTAACATAAACGTTAGCACAACAACAATAGCAAATTACCTCGAAGGCAGATTGTTCTCATTAAAAAAAATGCACAAGGAGCCTTTTACAATGAACAGTTATGAAAACAAACAAAAAAGAGCTGAATATGTTAGAAACATCAACGAACATATCACAAATGGTTGTCAGATAGTTTGGTTGGATGAAACAAATTTTAACCTTTTTTGTAGAAAAACGCAAGGACGCGCGAGACAAGGAAAAAGAGCAATTATGAAAGTACCTGCTTCAAAGGGTTTAAACATACACTTGATCGCAGCTATTTCAACTACAAATGTCGTCATGATAGAAACTCGCAGGGGATCATTTAAAGCAGATTCCTGTAACGAGTGGATGTTGGCTATGTTTCACCAGTGGGTTACATCCGGGAATCGTTTGGAGGATTTGGTCGTTGTAACAGATAATGCTCCTTGTCACGCTCGTTTGCAAAGGGTGTTTGATAATTCACCAGCTCAGTTGTTAAGTTTGGGACCCTACAGTCCAATGTTGAACCCGGTGGAAACGATCTGGTTCAAAATTAAAAGTAACGTTAAAAATGCAATTCGCATTCCACCTGTATTAGGTGACGGGATTGCGGAACAGCGCATGCAGTACTTAGAACGAATTGTAATTGAGGCGAAAAATACTATAATGGGAGGAGATTGTGCACGTGCGATACAACACACAACCACGCACTATGCAACTATTTTAAATATGGAAGATGTACAAGTTGGTGCTTAAATGATCAATGAAGTGATTTTTAATTATATAATTTTTAATTATAATTTTTAATTGAATTATAAATTTTTCCCTAATATGTTTTTAGTGTTTATTATGTTAAATTCATTTGCCCAAAAATTATAAATTTTTCCCTAAATTTTTCCCTAGAAAATTAAATTTACGCTACAAATCTTGCGTCATTTTTAAGTGCGTCATTTTATACGCTCCATTTTTTTACGCGCCATTTTTTTTAAGCGCCATTTTACACTTACTCCTTTAAAGCGATATTTAAATTAAAATTTTCGTGTTCTCAATTACATCTTTCTATTTCTTAATTACAACTTATATTTTCTCAATTACATGTTACGATTCTTAATTACAATTTTCGTTTTCTAAATTACATCTTATGTTTCTTAATTACAACTTACGTTTTCTCAATTACATCTTACGATTCTTAATTACAATTTTTGTTTTCTCAATTACATCTTGAAAAGGTGTACAACCTATATAACAAAAGGAATACAATATTCTAATATTCTTCACAGTCTTTATAATAAACAAAATTTTTGGTCTGAAGAATTTTTGGTCTTTTTTTCACCTTAAACATTTTTATTTTATGTTACGGCAAAATTTAAAAAAATTTCTTTATAGAATAATCTAATATTTACAACACGAATTTTTTTTTTTACATATATATATATGCATACATACATGCATATATGCATCCATGCATGCATACGTACATACATACATACATACATACATACATATATGCATAAATGAATTAGACACACTTATTAGTCAAACTAAAAAAATAGTTGCAGGGGCTTCAGTACCTACATCGACTATCTTATAGCCTGCTGCTGCAAACAATGCTGCTATATCAATGAAGGGTTTGGCATGGGGCAGCAATCTTTTCTTTTATTGTTCTTGGTTTTTTTCTGCTTTTTCTGAAAAAGTGTATGTTTTTAGAATAAGAGTGCAAAAAGGATATTAAAGGGATCCCCAAGTACCGAGACAAGTTGTGTTCATATCATAGATAAACATTAGAAAATCAGTTAAAAGTTAATTAAATTTTCCAAAACAAATTATTAAATGAGGTATTAACAAAAACATTTTTGTTTTGCAGTTGTACTTCCAGTTGAGAGCCTAATTTTAGGCTCTCACCTCAGCATAGTTTTTTCAGTTAAAAAAACATCTGGTTTCAAAAATGTTTTGGCTCACCGTAGAGTTTTTTAAACTCAGTTCAGTTTTACACAATCAGATTAGGTTTTCCCTTTTATATTAAGTCTGCGGTGGTTATAAAAAATGTTTGCTGAAGCATGTTTTTATTTTTTGTTCAATATGTCGTCAAGTGTTTGAGTTGAATAAACTAGAATAGTAATTAGGCAAAGCGAACATTAAAATAAACAAGATGAATATTTTCTTAGAAAATAAGTAATTATTTTTTTTATATAAACACCAAGTACAATATAATCCAACATGGTTAAATTCTGAAAGATTTAAAAAAATATTTATAAATAGTAAGTGTATGTAGCAAGTAAATGAAAAGTAGTGATTAGCGATAAACCATTATATATTATATACGAAGAATTGTATTTAAATTTGAGTGAAAAAAAAAAAAAAAAAAAAAAAAAGGTCCTTTAAGATAGACAGAACTTTTAGACCGGTATGCCTAAATTATTCCTGGATACGTCACTGTGTATATATATATATATATATATATATATATATATATATATATATATATATATATATATATATATATATATATATATATGTATATATATATATATTTATATATATATATATTTATATATATATATTTATATATATATATATGTATGTATATATATATATTTATATATATATATATATGTATGTGTATATATATATATATTTATATATATATATATATATAAATATATATATATATATATATATATTTATATTTATATTTATATATATATATTTTTTAATTGAATGTTGTTTTTTCTTAAAAATATTTTTCATTATTTATTTCATTCATTTGTTTTTAATTATTTTTAGTTGATAAAAAAGAGCTTCAAAAATGGTATTTTTTAATTTTTAGTTTGTTTGTTTTTTAATAACATCTAGCATAATTATATTTTTAGTTCTAGTTTAAGGGTGTTTTAGAAATTCTAATTAAACTGAAAATAAATTCAGTTGTATGTTGTTGTATGTTGAGTTAGGTGTAACAACCTTCATTAGGCTTTCAAATAATTACTAGCTTTTGAATGGATCAATAATCAGTTTTTTCATAAATTTATATACTTGATGGCAACAATGATCAAGATCATGGTCATGATCATGATAGCAGGCCTTGTTACGAGATTTCGCTGCGTAACGGAAAAGCGAAACGTGAATTGATGTAACTTTACTCAATAAAGATATTTACATTGTTAAAGTTAAATTACGTCAGTTGCATTTTTACTTCATTGTAATTAAATTTAAAATGACATTAAAAACTATTGTTAGTCTTTGAAACGAAATAGCTTTAAATTGAACAATGTTTTATAAAAAAAAATTAAGTTTTAATTGTGATTAAAAAAAAGTCTTCTTGTATTAAAATCTTATACTTATTTAAATTTAATTTTTTTGCTTTTAACATTCGTTTTATGGTTGTTTTTTTTTAAATATATATATTTTTAAATAATTTAAATTTAATACTTGTTTGTGGTTGATTTTCTTAGAGGGATTTAAATGTACTTACAACTAAAAGCATAGATTGGGTTTTCCCCTTTTAAAAAAAACATTTGCACTAACTGGTTTTGATCAAATAAATATTGTAAAGAAACGAAATTTACTGCTTTTTCGGCTTTGTTTTTTTTTTTTTATTTCCATTAAATAATTTTATTTTTATGTACAGTGAAACCTAATGTATTTTTACTATTTTTTTACTCAATCCAAAAAAAAAAATGTTTTCGGTTTTAAGATGTTATAAGCAGAGTTTGTTTTTAACAAATATCATTATAATTTTGAAATTTATGTATCTTATATTTATAGCTCCAGTACTAGTTTTGTTTTTAAAATAAAATAAATATAAGTTGGGCTTTTAAAGAGTTTATTTACTGATCGCGTTATTTTTAATAGGTTTGAATTTTGGTTTGTTTTATAAAAAAAATTCTTTGGCAAACGGCAAAGAGAAAACCCAAACATAACATTAATAACTCGAGTTTAGAAGAACTTTTTTGTATTGACGTCATTTATTTACTTGTAGTTATAAATTGAATAATGCACTTCTGTAAATAATGAATGAAACTGTAAAATAATGGAAAAATAAAAACTGGAAAATAATGTGCTTTTGTTAAGCGCATTATTCAGACCAGTATTTGGAACTTACCTGAAATTTAACTGAAAATTAAAAATAAGTTATATGTAATACAAACATTTTAAAGTAACTTGAATTAAATTTATTAAATCTTTTTTTACTTTGGAAATTTTATCATAAAAAAATGGAGCATTTTAAAATTAAAAAATTTTAAAATGCTCTGTTTTAAAATTAAATGAAAGAATTTTAATTAAATTTAATAAATTTATTTACAAAAACTATAATTAATAAAAAAATATTTAAATTTAATAAATTAAAAATATTTCTTTTTTTAAATTTAAATGTTTTTAAACTTATGAAATATAAAGCTTAATATTAAATATGATAAAAGGTTTAAACTTAAAACACTTATTTTTTTAAAACTAATTTTTAACATCAAACAACAATTAAAATAATTAAACAAATTTTTCTTTAACAAAAATCTATTAGTTTACAATTGCGGTTAAATGCTTTTACTTACGACTTTATTTTCTTCTGAATAAACGTCACATAAACGATATCAAATGATAATTTGAATATTCTAAAAGATTAAATTTTTGCGTAACGCAAAACTGCTGAACGCGTAGGCAAATCGCCTTTTTGCAGGTAAAATGCGAGCTGTGTAACAATTCTTAACAAAGCCTGTGATAGGTTGATGATTTGTCAATATTTCAGTTTTTTTCTTTTTTAGGTATAGAGATTTCATGAAAGACTGTCCTTCTGGTAAACTTCATCAAGAGGTTAACTTTTGAAAAAATTACTATACCTTTTTTATTGTAGTTCTAAGTTTAAATTAAAGCAAATTGGTTTTATCATTTTACTCAATATTTTATACCCTACACTTTCTTAAAATCACAAGTCTCCAATCTATAGTGGAGGTGGGGGCATATGGAGGCACAACCGTTTTTTAATATTTCTCTTTAAAAAATGGTATCTAATTTGGCAAAAAACATACCACGTGTTGGTAAAACAGTTTCCTTCATTTTGCTTATGTCAAAAAGAGTACCTGATGCGTTTCTGAAAAGTTGTGCATAATAATGTTTATTTTGACAAAAATATTATATTTATATCATATTTTGCCAGACCTTTCTTTTGAGGATTAGGCTATGTTTGATTTTAGTGTTAAAGATATGTTATCAGTGTTATTTCATCAAGTGAAAACCATTTTTGATATCAACATAACCTAATAATCAAGCTATGAAACTGTACTCTTTCTAAAAACTCTCTTCTGAGACAGAACCATAGAGATGCACAGGAGGCACAACCGCATACTTTTGATATTTATCAAAGTTAGATTATTACAAATAACATTATATACAATCATTACACTTGAATGCGTTCATGTAAAAACTTAATAGAAATATTTGTGTTTTGAGATGTTGGAAATAAGATTTCGCATTTTTTTATTTAATTTTTATAAATGAGTTTTTGATTAAAATGTAAAACTAAGAGTATAAATTGATATCTTGTTATATTTATGTATATGTAATGATTATTATATAATTATATATTGTATATATATAATTATATATTGTAGATATATAATTGTGCATTTCTTAATTAAATAAAAAAATGTACCATGAAAAGTGTGCCTTCAACGAATTTTGTTAGGGTGCATTTGTACCTCACGGTGAGGGTAAAACTGTTTTTTTCATGAAGTGTACTTTTTGTGTAATAACTAATACAAAAATTTTTTATTTAGAAAAAATTTAAATATTTTAAATTATTTTTGATATTTTTTATAATAACTAGTGATCAACTTTAATAAACCTTATATTTATATTTATTTATTCAATGATCAATAATTATTATTTACAAACTTATTGAAATCATGCACAGTAAAAACAGTTTGTGGTAGGATTTTATCTAAAACGCATAATCTAATTATTGACGGAGAGAATAAGATAAGGACCCCTTTTTTCTGACAACATTTGCAATTATAGTTGCGCCAGCCAAATTGAAAAGCATAAATAAACTGTACTATTTAAGTCTACATTTAAAACAGTTGAGTGATGATGCGTTGGCTATGGTGGTTAATAAGGAATTCCAGTTTTTAACTACTCAATTAGTGAAAAAATTGCATCTTTCATAATGTTTCAATTTTTTTTTGACGACTGGTTCAAAGGCATAGCTCCTTATTCTTAAACTTTACTTAGATCTTCGATACGCTGGTGCGGCGTCACAAAATTGGTTGAACCAATTCCATAAATGCTGCATAACTTTCATACACATGTGGCAGTTTTCAAGGGTAGTCAAATTAAGCTGTGTTAAGCGTTCCTTGTATTTTAGGCGACTTATTGACTTAATCCATTTTGTGGTTTGATGTTGAATTTTTTCGATTGTATTTATATCTCCTATGAAATGAGGAGACCATAAGTAGTATATAGGAAATGCCAAAAAATTAAACTACGACTTCTGAATCCTTTTTTAAATTTCCCTAGCACTCTATTTCCAGCTGTAGCTGGGTGCTTAGCTTGTAACTTCACTTTAAGATTATTAGATACTATAACCCCCAAATTGCATTCTTTTGCTGTGGTTTCAAGTTGTTTGCGATGACCATTTTGTGATTCCATTGTATATATATGTATTTGACTCTTTTTTTTTTTTTTTTTTTTTTGCCTATGTGCATAACTTTGCATTTTTCAATGTTGAATGGCATAAGCCATTTAACAGCAAGACCTTGTTGAAGACATAGTCTTCAACAAGATCTTGCTGTTTGTGTCAAGATCTCTTAAAAGACAAGGTGCATCTTTTTCAGACTTGATAATACCTATGATCTTGCTGTCGTCTGCATACATATCACTCAATATCAAGTCCAGTAAATTGTTAATGTAGAGCACAAAAAGGAGCGGATCTAAAACTGAACCCTGACGTACTCTGCTAAACACTTTTCTCCATGGCGATAATGTATTATCTATTTTGGCCCATTGTTCTCTATTTGTCAACCAATTTTTTATCCAGTTATGTAGTTAACCATAAATGCCATATACCTTCAGTTTATATAAGAGTCTTTTGTGTGGTACCTCATCAAACGCTTTTGAAAATTCTGTACAAATTATGTCTGATGTAAAACCCTGATTGATAGCATCTGCAACAATATCCTTTGACGAAGCCATGCTGAGCTGGAGTAATAAGTTCATTTTTGACAAAATTCTGCATAATACAATTGTATTATGCAGAACCTTCTAATAAGGTACCAAGGCTTTGGAAACTGGCCTGTAATTGCTTGCCTTTAACTTCCTTCCTTTTTTGAATATAGGTTTTTCTTCTGCTTTTCTTCATTGATCTGGAACAAAGGATGTAAAAATAGAAGACTTAAATAACATGGTTAAAGGAACAGAAAAAGTTTTTGCGCAGTTTTTTAAGACTCTAGGTTGGATTCCATTAGAACCTGTTGCTTTTGAAGGATCAAGTTTTAGCAATCTGTTTTTGACTATTTCATAAGTGATAAAATCAACTACTTTATTGCAAGTGGTCGGAGATCGGTTTAAAAATTTAAGTAGTGGTCCTTGCGGCTCTACTTTAAATACAGTATAAAAATAATCATTGAGTGTCTTACATGTGTTAAATATTTTATCAGTCACCTATCCATTGCAGCCTTCAAATAAATGGAATTTATTGTAACTTTTATTTTGCTTTTGACATAAGAATTGAGTCCCTTTAAGTTATGTTTAAACAAAGAATCTTCGTAGTCAAGTTTTGCTTTTTTCACCACTTTTGTGACGGTTTTTGCTGCTTTGTTATATTCTGTTATAATATGTTGGTGTGATCCTGGTCCTGCAGACACATATTTACCCCAGAGTTTACTCTTTTTTTTTTTACAGCTTTCATGACCTCACTAATAACCCATGGGTTTTTATTCGACTGGTATGGTTTTGTGGTACTTGGTATGTAAAGTGAAGTAGCTTCATTATATTTGTCAATTAAAAGTTTGTATTTTTCGGCCTCATATATATTTTTAAATACCTCCCATTCAATTTCTAATATAATATGAAATAAAAGTGTAGTTCTTTCCTCCACAAAAATGGAAGAGTTATTTGTGGTTCATTGTTTATTATTGCTGCTGGAATTGATCCTACAATAGTTAGGTGAGCTTGTCCCTCCGGGGTAGAACCTAAAGATTCTACCCAGTTGGTAGATACACCCTAAAGGGAGTGATTCTTTTTCAAGTTTGAGCTTTATCCACATCTGCTCAATGGTATTTTTGTTAAGTTGAATATTTGTTAGTGTGCATTTAAGATCATTTTTTACATAGATAGCTATGCCACCTCCAATCTTTCCAACCCTGTTTTGTAAAAAAATGTTATATCTTGCAATAGCAGTATCTGAAGCCTCAGTAAACCACGTCTCAGCAAGAAAAATAAGGTGTGGGTGTTTATGCTTGGTGGTTGATTGTATTCTGGCTTTCAGCTCGCCAATTTACGTTTGATTCAGTGAGCATGGATTATTTGCCCAGAAATTGATGTTATTGAAAATCTTCACTAAACAAGTTTTCGATAACTCGGGCAGATGAAATATGACAGTAAAAGGTCTAGTTGATGGTGATGGTCAAGTTGGGTGTTTTCTTTTAACATTGAGGCTTGATGGTTGTACCAGTTGGGATTGTTGAGGCTGATTCAGGGTTTGTTCTGGGGTTGAACTTTCATCAATGATGTTTGTTCTGATTTTTGATTTTGAGGCATTAACAATAGCGTCTGCAATGTTCTTGAAGTTGACAAAGACTGATCTTTGATGAGCAACTGACTTGTTAATTGGCTGAGCTAATGAGTGAGTTGATTGGCTGAGAGATTTAATTGAGTGAGTTAATTGGCTTAGTTAATTGGCTGAGAGATAAACTGAGCATTAATTGGCTTAACAAAGTTGATGAGTTTATAGATAACAAAACGAAATGGTAAGTCGAGCAGCTTAAATTTTGCAAGTTCGTCGTTTTGCTCCTTTTTTTTTTTTTCGTCGTTTTGCTCTTCTTTTTTTGCAATTTAGTTTGTTGAATTCATGTTGTTCTGTCTCTGTTCCGTCTTTTCTAGCAAACATGTCTTTGTACTCAGATGTGATGAGATCGTGATACTTGGCTTTCGATAAGACTAGGAATGCAATTCAGAGACTTTAACTGTGACCTGCATGAGTTAGGTTTTTCAGAGTTCTTGAAAATCCTTCAGGTTCACATAGACTAGTGATGGACGTTATACTAGCTTTAACCAGTTTTATTTTCGTGGACATAATTTACAGCTGAAAAATAATAATAAAGTATATTTATAAATATATATATATATATATATATATATATATATATATATATATATATATATATATATATATATATATATATATATATATATATATATATATATATATATATATATAAATATATATATATATATATTTGTATATGTATATATAGAAATTATATTTCTTTTGTAGATATAGTTTAATCTATTACAAATAAAATAATGATTATAAATTTTCCGTAAATATATTTATTAATTAATAAGTAAAGTTTTAGATTTTTTCAAAAGCACAAAAAAAATATAAAACAATAAAAGACAAAAAATAAGAAAAATCAGCTGAAAAAATTGTTCTCAAAATTTATTTGAATAAAACTAAGAGGTTAAAAAATGTCATGTGCACGCTGTTATTGGCATTAAATTAAAGACTTTAATAGAAGAAAGTTAAAGTAAAGTTTAAAAAAACTCTTTAAAAAAAAAGGCAGATAAAAGATAAAAAGAAACAAAAACTTTTAAAA